ACTGTCACAAGAGACCTCCACCACGTGAATCCACAGTTCCCCAACAGGTTGAGTTAAAAAAGTAAGGAGAGGCCGGGCAGTGGCCTAACGGAGCCCTGCCCCACTTGTAATCATGCAGAGGATTTTAGCAACAACGCAGGTAAAGCCATGAGCTTTCGGTGTGAAAAATCTCAAAATAAATAGCAATTTAAAGCGGAGACCCCAGCATGGGCCAGGCGCAGAGACCAGAGCCAGGCTTGCAGATGGCATGTCACCTGTTTGTGGGAGACGCAGGGGTGGGCCTCACAGCTACTGCATCTGCCAAAGGCCAACTGGACCCCTCAGGAGAGCTCGGGACTCCCACGTCACAGGGGCAATGCTGACGGGAGCTAAATGCAGCCCCGAGGGAGTGATGAGACACTGGTCAACTACCCCCCCTTTACATGGGTGCTTGCCTCCATTTCCTCACCTGCCAAATGGGCACGCTCAGAGTGAGCATCAGTAACGGATACACCAGTACACCTGAGGTCACCTCATCTCCAGCGCCAGGCCCTGCCAACGCTGCACTGAACGTAAGACAGTGGGAGAGACTCTAGATGCAGAGAGAAATGGACTCAGGCATGGACTGGAAGCCAGACTGAGTGCAAGTCCCAGCTCTGCGCTGACTTGCTGTGTGACTTTGGGTACGTTACCTCGTCTCTGAATCTCCTTTCCTGGCAGCAACCAAGAGGAAGACTAACAACGCCCTACAAAGGGAAGGTGAAAGTCCCTACACTCATCAAGTTGTAAGGACCAAGTCAGTCAGTCATCTGGACAGCTGTCTGGCATCTGTTAAGTACTACTCTGGGCATCGCCTGCTCTGAGTGTAGTAGAAGTTCCTATTTCCCATTCACCTCTGGGGCTTCGGTTTCAATCATCCAAACCAGCAGTTCTCCTCCAGGGCACACAGGGCAGTGTCTGCGGATGTTTTTAGTTGTCAGACCAGGAGACAAGGTGCTCCAGGCACCTTAGGAGGTAGAGACCAGGGATACGGCTAACATCCTACAGGACACAGGACAGCGTCCCTGAGGAAGAACTATCTTGGCCTCAAATGCCAACAAGTGCTGAACTGATCGCCCACACGGGGACCGCAGCCGTGTCTCTGGGAATCCTTCGCCTCCCCCGGAAATGCGGAGCAGAGGTAGGGAGCAGGTCACCTGGGCTGAGCGAGTGCTCAAGAAACATTCGAAACCATTGTGAGGACTCAGCTCTTTTGAATACTGAATCCAATCAGTTTTACTGTAAGAACGAACGAATACCTGGCCCAGCATTCTGAGGGCTGTTGTTATCACTGGTACTAACCCTGCTCCTCTCACCACTGCTAGGATAACAAGCAGAAATAAAGTGCTTGTTACCTAAACCAACAGGAATAAATGACGTTAAAGACATTTTAAAAGATTTCAATATTTCCAATAAAACCTTTAGTGTCGGGGTGTTTCTTTGGTTTTGTTTTTCAGTAATCCACTCACTTATGTGCCCCCCGCTTCCAAGAGACTTCCGGTGGCTGATAGGATCAGTAGAATGCCCTCCCCACGAGGGCTACAGACCAGGCTTTTCGAGCTGTGCTCTCTGACACAGCCGTCGCCACCTTTTGGACCTTGCGGACCCCTCAGAACCCACGGACCCCCGGTTGGCGACCGACCGCTGCTCTGAAACGAATGAACAAGCCGGCCTAGCAGAGAGGGGCTCGCTTAGCACACTGTCAAAGCGCTCCTGAGGACTGTGGGGAACTTTGCCAAGAAGCCTAACCCTAGCCCTAACCGGTTTGGCTCAGTGAATAGAAGCGATGGCCTGCGGACTGAGGGGTCCCGAGTTCGATTCCGGTCAAGGGCATGTACCTTGGTTGCGGGCACATCCCCAGGAAGGGGTGTGCAGGAGGCAGCTGATCGATGTTTCTCTCTCATCGATGTTTCTAACTCTCTATCCCTCTCCCTTCCTCTCTGTAAAAAAATCAATAAAATATATTTTTTTAAAAAAAGAAGCCTAACCCTAAAGGGAACAGGAACAAAATCCCACGCCAAGGTACTGTCACAAGAGACCTCCACCACGTGAATCCATGGTTCCCTAACAGGTTGAGTTAACAAAGTAGGGAGAGGCCGGGCGGTGGCCTAACGGAGCCCTGCCCCACTTGTGATCATGCAGAGGATTTTAGCAACAACACAGGTAAAGCCATGAGCTTTATAATTCTGTGTGGCCCTAGCCGGGCAGGTCAGGGGCTTACATCGTCCCAATACACCAAGGTTGCAAGTTCGATCCCTGCTCAGGGCACATACAAGCAATCAGTGGATGCAAAAATGCGTGAACCAACAATCAATGCTTCTCTCTCTCTCTAAAATCAATCAATATAATTCTCTGTGTGTGTGCATAGGTGCAAGTGTGAAATAAAAATAACTGGAACAAGCCTTTAATTTCACAGACATATAAATTTTCCTTTGATAATAAAGTTTCAGTATTGGGGCACATACAAGCAATCAGTGGATGCAAAAATGCGTGGACCAACAATCAATGCTTCTCTCTCCTCCTCTCTTTAAAATCAATCAATATAATTCTGTGTGTGTGTGTGCATAGGTGCAAGTGTGAAGTAAAAATAAATAACTTGAACAAGCCTTTAATTTCACAGACATATGAAGTTTCCTTTGATAATAAAGTTTCAGTATTCGGGTTTAAGAAACATGTTTTTTAAATACATTTTTTATTGATTCTAGAGAGAAAGGAAGAGGAAGATCGAAACATCAATGCTGAGAGAGAATCATTGATTGGCTACCTCCTGCACGCCCCCTCCTGGGGACTGAACCCACAACCCGGGCATGTGCCTTGACCGGAATCCAACCCAGGACCCTTTAGTCCGCAGGCTGATGCTCTATCCAAGGGGCCAAACTGGCTACGGCAAGAAACATGTTTTAAGTGTTTTTTTAAACAGAACACTTGGACCCGACAAGTATAAGGGTGATGGGAGAACACTGGTTTCCATGGAGACAAGCAAGCTTCACTCTCCACCCGGCAGTGGAGGGTAGAC